GCACCGCAGTGTCCCGGCCTGCAGAGGCGGTGTGAGGAGGCAGCGTTCTGGGTGGCACAAAAAGGGGCATCCGGGCGATCCCATCTAGCAGGCGCTTCCACAGAAACAAGGGCAAGGTGCAGCCAGCTAAACATCCCTGGGGCTGAGCCAGAGCGAAGGGGAACGTGGAGGGCGAAGGCCTCACAAAGTCGTTATTACTGTGATTAATAACAAAACCTGTAAGCATTATCTTCCATTTGTAATGCCTGATTCTGTAAAGATCTAGGAGTGCTGAGCAGCTCAGTAAGCTTTGCAGAATGGGTGAACGTGTTTCCATTGCTCCTCTGACGCTTTCTGTTGGACGCTCTTTGTTTCCAGTTGTGTTAAAGAACGAACTGTAAAGCTGAAGTTTGTTGGTGCCTGGCTCAGTATGCGGAGCCTTGGCTGCTGCTCAAAGTTCCGAGCATCGTTTTGAAGGACTCCGCATCTCATCAGGGAGCGTGAATGCGGAGAAACTGCTGAACATCTTCTGTTTGGTTTTTATTTTGTTGTTTTTTTTCCCAGTGACTATCACAAGAAACAGAATGCCCTCAGAGCACTTCAAAAGAAAGCTCTGGACAAGAATCCTGATGAGTTCTACTTTAAAATGATACGTGCAGAGCTCCAGGTAAGAATCTAGATTCTCTTCAAGCAGGGTTACACTCTCTTGTTCTGGGGAACATCTTTTTTCCTACCTTTTTTTAAATTTCTTTATGAATTAGTAAATAAATTAGCAGACTTTGGTGCCTGTGGAAGGCTTTGAAGAAAATGAGGGGCAGAGGATAGAAAGGTTCTTCTGCTTTTATTTTTGGGATCCGTAGTACATGATAACTGAAATGGTGTCTGTAAGTGCTGTGTTCTGTTTGGTTTTAGGATGGAGTTCATATAATAAAGCAGCCAAAGGATGAAGTGACCCCCGAACAGGTGAAATTGATGAGGACACAGGATATTAAATATGTGGAAATGAAGAGAGTGGCAGAAGCCAAGGTAATACTTCACTTCTTTAGCGTTTTCCTGTTTGCTCAGAATTATTCTTTTTATTGTATTTTTTTGTTGTTGGCTATGGTGTTTATGATTACTGAAATCTGATTTGCGTAATACTGGAGATGATAAATGGAAATGTTATTGGAGCTCTGTATATAAAACCTAAAGGCGTACTGAAAAATAAAAACTGTACTATGTATTATTATAAAACATGGCAATTTCTTATGTAAATTTCAGACATTAAATGTGTACTCTTGCTTCTCATATTTATAAAGAATTGAGGAATGTTGTTACTGAAGTGGGTTGTTTGAATATGGTAGGCAGGCAATCAACAGAAATACGATCCACTTCTGAAAATGACATAAGCATAGACTAGATATATTTTCAAAGATTAAAAAGTGAGAGTTCAGATGCTTGAGAAACAAACAGGAATTCCTTCAGGGGGACCGTATTTACCTTGTTACGTATGTTTGGCAAAACAGATGAACTTTTCTTGCCCGCAGAAAATCGAGAGGCTGAAGTCTGAGCTCCATCTGCTGGATGCAGAGGGGAAGAATCCCAACAAGCACATGTTCTTTTTTGATACCAAAAAAGAAGGTAAGATTTAAATAGGCTTTATCAGAAAACTTGTCCTGTGATGTTTTATTGTAGGCTCTTTAAAATAGTATGGTGCTTTCGTGATGCTGTTATCATAAAAAAGGATAATTTTTTTTCAGGAGTAATAATTCACATGCTCTAGAAATCTCTCTTGATTGCTAGATAAGACCACAGTTCTGCAGGAGCTTGTTGCTGGGGCTTCCACCGATGACTGTACTTAAGCCACATGTTTGGAAGGTTTGCTGAGCATTAGTCCAAGAAGTCTGGCCTTGTGAGTTTATTGCTAAATTTCTTTCTATTTATAGTTCAGGAGTTTGATATTGCAACTCATCTGGACACTGTTCCAGAGCTCGTAGATAGAGTGTACAACCGACCAACCATTGCAACGCTGCAGAAAGAGACGCTGAAAGGAGCTACTGATCCTGCCCATTTAAAGGTACTGCCACTGTTTGTATTATAGTTTTATTAATGCTTTATGTCTTTTGTATAATAAACACTTAAAGAGGAGTCGTTGGACCATTGTGGAGGAGAACAAAGTTGTTCTGCTGTCTTAGAATTTTTATCGGTGACACAAGGCTGTAGTGGATGTCACTTAATTGCCAAGTGCCTGGAGCCTATAGTTAAATCTTCTCCTGGACCGACATGGAGAACTTGGAGAGTTGTATCCCAGTCCACTGTGGACTATAAATCAAGAGTTACGATGTATAGGTCAGAAAGGAATGATATAGATTTAATTAGGCAGTTTCCTTGGCAAAATTGATATATTTCTTCTCTGTTACACGGCATACACCTATAGGACTATCTTTTCATTAGATTGCTGCAGTTCTAAGCGTGATTTTTGTAGCATACAATGTTAAGTCTCCCCTCACACCTCCCCAGAAACTCTTGCACCCCTGAATAGGTATGTGAAGAAGCTTATTCCAACATAGATGTAACTCTTGTTGGGTTTCTGATCTCATATTTCAGTTAGGCTCAGAGCCTGAAGTAGCTTGAGATTCAGAGTTTGTCTCCCTCCTTTTTCTTCTTAAAGACATTTAAGCTATATTCTCACTTCCTGGCTTTCCTTATTTAAAGCGTTTCATGATCCTTCAGGATTAATTGCTTATGCAATCAACTTTGATTCTGATGTTTTAATATCACAGCACTTCTGTACTGGAAGTAGCCACACTCGGCTTTAACACTGTAAATACCACTTAATTGGTTTAGATATATTGAGCAGTCCTATAAGCTTGAGTTGGTATGCGTAAGGTAAAATAAAATTGTCTAAAATTGCCGATTGGTAAATTTGTAACCTGTTGTTTTCTGAATCAGATGTCAGATAACAAACAGCCTGTGGTCCCTTTCTTCTTGCCAGCTCTCAGTTTCACTTGTCAGTAAAGCAGTTGGACAAGTTGTAGACTGACAAGTTTTCTCGTCTGAATGTCTGAGTCATATTTTAAGCATGTTGGGATCTGTTCTTCTTAATTTAATTACTTAAATCACACCTGGAGTAATACCATTTTTGTGCTGGGAAAGCCATCCACTGTTGGTACGTAAACGTGACCAAACAAGTTGCATTTTGGGAGGCCTCTGCAATTTCTAAGCACTTCAGGAATTGGTCTCTGGTCCTTTTTTTTTTTCTTTTCTTTGTTTTTTTCTTTCCCTCTGGATAAACTGAGTTTTTATTGGGGAACGAAATGTTATCTTGCACTCAACACTGAAATTCAGAGGATTTAGAGAAATGAAACTCCTGCCACTTACTGAACAAGGTTACACAACATCTAAACTAGGTTAGAAGAGGTTTGGGGTTTTTATGTTTGGATTTAGGAGATTAAAAAAAGCACAAATAATGAAGTCCTAACTAGAAAACCTCTAGTATGAGAATCAAGATGTTAAAACAGTTCTCTGGAATCTAGCCACAGAATTGAAGGAGCATTCTCTAATGGGATTATGATTGAAAAGTGTAAAAACGCTTGTGAGGTCCAGGTGCCTCAGAATAGGTCAGTTATAGACCACAGTATCATCTTCCTCTCTCTCTCTCTCTCAAAAATGCTCTTTTTTTTTTTCTCCAGAAATTAGCCCAGCAAAGGAAGAATCAATATGACCTCCTGAAGCAGCGCATTGAAAGAGAAAAGGCCATGTTTGTTATTGCACAGAAAATCCAGACACGTAAAGATCTTTTGGTGAGGGATTTAGTTCTGGTTCTTTGAATCTGTTTTGTTAAGGTCATTAGGTCTAGTTTTGTATGTATGCATTTCTTCACTCTGATTTTATATTGACACTTCTAGATAACTCCTAAAAATAAGTAATACGCCTGTAGTGTGGAAAAAGCGAGGAGATGAAGAATTCCAGTTGTGCCAAGGCTAGTAAATGATATCTGCTAGTCCCACTCTTACTGTGTGGGAAAGGACAAAGGCTCAACATTGAAATGGTGCTCTCAAGTCTTTTCTAAAACACTGTTGCCACCTCTCAAACACTAAATTAATAATTTCAAGTAGCAGAGGTGAGGAACCATTTCTGTAGGTTACAAGAAGATCTTAAGAATCCCAATGACAAAAAAAAAATTGTCTCAATGAAACTTGCCATTCACTGAAGAAGATCTTAAGAATCCCAATGACAAAAAAATTGTCTCAATGAGACTTGCCATTCACTGGTGCTTGTGAACAAAATAGATTGTGCCTGACAACGTAAAGGCAGAAAGAGCAGGCAGAAATATAATTCTCACCTAAACAGGGGAAAGTGACCATTTTTCACTAATGCCTTGTCAGTCCCAGACAGGGACTTTCTTATTTATATGAGGGTGGGGTGGGTTTTTTTTCTTCTTACATGCTAGCAAATTTTTTTCTTGTTTTTCCAGGACAAAGCTCATAAAGTAAAGGTGAAGAAAGAGACAACAAATGGTCCAGCAATTTACAAATTCAAATTTCAGCGGAAACGTTAGCCATTCCATTAAGTAATTGTTCTCCTTATGAAGAAGGACTGACTGATAGACTGTATCAGGTTGTTTTTCACTGCAGCCTAGCACTTTGTTAAGACAAATTACTGTGGGCCTGTGGTAGCCATAAATATATTGTATCTAATTAATTGATTAATAAATCGGAGAGTTTGTTCTCTTGGTATTTACAGTGGGAAGCCACAAGAGGTGCCTGAACATCCCAGGAATATGCACTATAAACAATCCTTGAAAGGGTCAAAATTAAGAGCCTGGGAGATGGGTTGCACACAGTGCGCGGACAAAAGGTGCTCCGGGATCGTTACGTTCAACTTTAAAACGAGTTGAAAGGCATTGCTAAGGGCGCATTGCTAAACTCAGGCGCCATCTTAGCCAGACTATTCTGGAATGGTGCTAGCAGAGGGGAATTGTTTCTTCCACTGTACGGCAAGGAAGAAAAACTCAACCTTTATGAATAGTTCCCGTAGCTGTTTGCGCTTCCTCAGTCTTCTCCTGTACAACGGGGTAGTGCCCGTGCCACGCTGGATTTCCAGCGTTGTCTCCCAGGTCTGAACAGAGGCGATACTGAAATTCGTGTTGTAGAGGGAGAGAGAATGCCGAAGCCACCTGTGGGCAGAAGTTTGTCCTCTTTGTTTACATTATGCTTGTTGCAACGCTGGTAGTTGGAAGGGGGTTGGAAGCGAGAGCAGTGAACACACATCCTTGGGTGTCCTGGAGCAGTTCGGGCAAGTTGCAAGGGCCTGGGCGTAAACATTCCTTTTCTTATCTCTCTCACTTGTACTACGTCTGCCAATAATAAGCACATGCCCATGCACGATGGTGAAAAAAGATGCTCTTCTCAAGCTCTTCCTACTTCAGGAGTTTTCCTCGCTTCTCTTGGATGAGACGTGACTTTACGTGCTAAAATGGAGCTTCTGCCATTGCAAAATTCCCAAGTTAGCAACAACTGCAGGGTGAATTTTTTTTCTGGGAAGGATGAAGGGAGGCACTTTGCTCTTAAAAGCAGTTAAGATCCTCTCATGCGGAATGTGAGGTTTTGCGATTTCACCGTTAACGGCACGATAGAAACCGTCCAGCACCCGACGGCCAGGAGGGAAAATGAATCACGCCGCGCAGGAGACACTTCCTCCCTTTCCTCCCTCACGGGAAACACTCGCACGGCTGACGATTGCAACGCCTTTTCCTTCCACGGT